TCGTGAGAACAAAGAGATTTGATTTGACAAAACCACGGAACCAAAGTATTAAAGTGTATTTACAGACCTGCCATGGGGCGAACTTGTTTTATTCTAGCCGGAGCACCTAATATGAGCAACTATATACTTGATATTACAGATGAATACATATATAATTGAAACAGAGTATTGCCTATACGCTGTGTTTGATGTTGATGAGACATGCAACTATATCTTACTTCAGACAATTATGTATAGTGGCCATTACTTGGTTAAATGACAATACCCTGTCACACGAGTATTTTTCACTTTGTTTTCTATCACCTCTAATTATAAATATATAAACAACCCCTTTGGGTTTCTTATAAATTGTGATCGAATATGACGATTATGCGTGCACATAACTAAGTATATATATATATGTGCCTGCTTATTGAACCATCTTGTATCACATGAATACATGTTATCTGTTTCGTCTACATAGGTTTCTAACAATGAAGAGTTCGCTCTACCTTACTGGGACTGGGCTGGAGAACCAAACTGTACTATATGTACTGACACGTATTTCGGAAAATCTACAGATTCTCTACACAACTTCACGGTAACTGGAACGTTCGCAAACTGGCCAGCAATTTGTCATGACTTCGAAAACCTTACACAACATGGCGAGCTGTGTTCCAATACCAGACCGTCTTTAAACACTCCGCGCATCCAGCGTAATCCTGGAGGGAACGAGTCCCCCGAACTCCAGGTTCTACCGAGTAAAGAAGCTGTGTACTACGCCCTCAGTGTTACAGACTATGACGTAATTCCAACTAATTACGCTCCGGTCTACAATAATTGGACACATTCTCCTTGTAGTTTTCGTAATGTTTTAGAAGGTACGTATATGAAATGAGCCAATACAGAAAATTTTAAGTTTTTTAACTGACTGAATTTGTGGTACTGTTGTTGTTATTAAGCAAGTTCACATTATTTTAGTTGTTGTTTTCTTATGCAGCAGTATTACAATCAAGCGTACAATATATGGGGAAAATAAGTTGTTTGCTATAAAACAGGTTTCCCCAATTATGGCACTCGACTAATGCAATATTTGAAATACAAACACATTAAAATATGAAATATACACAATATCATAATTTTAGTAAATGTTGTTTAAAAATTCCGTCAATTTGTACAATACCCAGGTGTTTATAAGGTAAAAAATGTGAGTGATAACGCATGATTAAGAAGAATAACAATTGTTATTAAGACTTAAAATGAAGCAGAGTAATCAGATAATGTACAAAGTAGCATAGAAAATTGTCAAATTTTCTTCAACCCCGTTCGATCTTCTTGATCAGCTGCGGTGACCACATTTGGAAACAATTTTCCACTCTGACACAGTGATACACATTTGTTAAATATGTTTCAAGGTTATGCTGATTCAGAAAACCAGACCGGGCTTCCTAGGGTACATCAGTTGCATAATCAAGTCCACTTATACTTCAATGGTACGATCTCAGTGATTGCTAACGCACCAAGCGATCCGATCTTTATTTTGCATCATGTCAATGTTGATAGAATATTAGAGAAATGGCTGCGAAGGTAAATACACTACAAGACCTCATTTATACCGATTTCTGTATTTACTCGATTCTGGCGACGACTGTGCATGTCAAAACAGATGTTGATGTGGGGGAGATTTCAAGTTTGTTTAATTACAATGATTTAGCATCTACCCCATTATACTTAGTAATCCAAATGGCTTTCATCAACCTGTTGAATAGAACTACCACAGTGATGGCGCAAACACAGTTAAATACAAACCAATCAGTGTAAAATACAATAGTTCAACTCCGTAGTTGACATACATCGACGAGTCATGAGAAAATGAATCCAGCTTTGTACGCGACATCAGAGTTTGTGTGTGAAATAACATGCATACCATCAGTATTATTACCCCGAGAGACGATTTTAATTGTATGTATTTTAATTGTACTTCTATTTAAGGTACAATGTCACTGCTGATCAATTTCCGGACACGTCGGCACCATTAGGTCACAATCGTTATTCATATATAGTACCTACGTTCCCTGTGCGGACCCACAGCGATTTTTTCAAGAAATCACATAATCTGGGTTATGACTATGATGACATTGATGAATTTGGTAAGATTTACAGTATTTTGCATCGTGATCGGACTATTTTATTGCTTCCCAAAATATATCAGTGTAGAGATGGATGAAGTAGAGATGGACAAATATGTTGTCAACCCGGAACTTAAACATAAATAATTAATAATGACATCTTTTGGAGAGGAAATGTTTTACATTCATGTATTATAAATGAAATATGTAAACCAATAATGTAACACAACTAGACCTTTTTTACTGAAAAAGATTTGGTGGATATACGCAATATCATTTCAAGTTTTTGTTTTGCAATATTTTTCATTTATAACACTTCTATATAAGACAGCAACAGAATACTTCCGTCGACACTTTTTAAATTACAGACAAAACTGACATGCAAATTATTACTAAAATAAAAGCATTCAGATTAGTTCTAATTTATTCTGTCACTGTGTTCTATGCGGTATTTTAACAGTTTGATTTAGTTATATTGCTGCTTGGATTGTATAGCTTTTTGTCAATATTAATTCTGTTTCATTTATACACAATTTAATATTTTGGATTATCTGTTTAAACAACGTGGTATAGTTTGATACTTAATACGAAAACATAAGATCGAATATTATCCAAGCTGCTACGCTAGCACAATTCTGTCAAGCAAATTGAAAAGAAAGTGAAGAACAAATATTAATCAATTTGCCATATTTTGGATTCAGTAACCAATTTGTTTATTTCTGGTCAAAACCATAACATATTACAGAAAATTGCGACACTTCACACGGTTTCAATCTTGAATGCAAGGCAAAATTCCTGATAACACGAGGTTTTTTGACATCCAAACTACATTGTTTTGTCATTGTTTGGTTATAGGTCTGCCGCTGGACCCAATAGAGCGTGAAAAGGAAATAATGGCTGTCAACAAAATGAAGAAATGTAGAGTACCAAATGGAGATTCAGTAAAGAAATAAACGCACAATCAAGGAAAACATGCCATGTGAATATCAATTGGAAGTAATTCAGATCATTATATATATTTCAATTTAGGGGCATTATTTACTGGGATGTCGTTGATTACTGGAATATTGTTATTTCTAAAAATGTATTAAACACATAACTGAGCATAGTAGAACATCAACCAACTTCTTGCCACACACTTGTACTGCTTCGCGTGGTTTTGCTTTTAAGAACTAATTTTCACTAACGTTATGCCTCGTGAGTAGGTCTTGTAAAGATTCGATGTAATTAACTCGTTAACGAAAAGTAGATAAAATATCATATTCAAAATATCTGAGCCCCAACCAACAAACGTACCACACTGCATGGTTAAATCAGTGAAACACAAAATAACAAGCATAGCACACTGCATGGTTAAATCGGTGAAACATAAAATAACAAACATACCACACTGCATGGTTAAATCAGTGAAACGTAAAATAACAAGCATACCACACTGCATGGTTAAATCAGTGAAACACAAAATAACAAGCATACCACACTGCATGGTTAAATCAGTGAAACTCAAAATAACAAGCATACCACACTGCATGGTTAAATCAGTGAAACTCAAAATAACAAGCATACCACACTGCATGGTTAAATCGGTGACACACAAAATAACAAGCATACCACACTGCATGGTTAAATCAGTGAAACACAAAATAACAAATATACCACACTGCATTGTTAAATCAGTGAACCACAAATATACCACACTGCATGCTTAAATCAGTGAAACACAAAATAACAAACATACCACACTGCATGGTTAAATCAGTGAACCACAAAATAACAAGCATACCACACTGCATGGTTAAATCAGTGAAACACAAAATAACAAGCATACCACACTGCATGGTTAAATCAGTGAACCACAAAATAACAAGCATACCACACTGCATGG